GAGTGGCCGACAGCGTTCGTAAGGGCATTGGGCGTGGAGGAGTTGGGGAGATGAATGAGTGATGTCAGTAGCCTCACCTGTGCTAAAGCTCAGAAGTATACCTCAGCCCCCAACCGCCATCATCCCCACCCACCGACATCACCCCCACCCCTACCATTCTCATATGCCTCCTGTTTAACTCCCTCCCCCCTCCCCTCACAACCACTACCTATATCCCCTAATCCCCCCTCCCCCGGTCCTTTTCGTATCCTAGCTCCTTACCTTCAAGCCCCCCGTCTGTGTGTGTCAAGCCTCTGCTCTTCTCCTGCTCTCCCCGCGTTGTCCACGAGACATTTGCTGTCACTGCACACACGATACCCAACATCGGCTGTACACTGCGATACCTCGGGGACTCTCGTGGCCTAGAGGTTAAGGTGTTCGCCTCGCATTCAATAGGTGCCGGGTTCGAATCCGGATAGTGACGGAAATTTTTCTTCTCTAAATTTTTCTCCTTTCACCTCCTTTTCTGCTCTTGCATTGTTCTGTCGTCTGCTTTCGTCTCCACTTTTTGCCCCCACCCTCTCACCTCCTTTGCCCCCTCCTCTGGGCTCCTGACTCTTTCTGCAGCCTTTCTACTGCTATTCCTTGGCTCCTTCTTACTGCTGTCTTTCAGCCCCACCCTTGATTTTCTGGTAGGAAAGATCTACACCTAGTCTTCTCGGAGAAGGGCGAAAAATCTCGGAGGTCCCATTTGCAAGTTGCGCACGTTAAAGATCCATTGGTGGTCCAAAATCGATAAGAGTACGCTTCAGCCGCCACCCTGGCAAAATTTAAAATTTTCTACCAACTGAAAATGTTTGGTGTGGCCCGGGCGCTCATATGACCTTATGCAGTTGCGAGCCTGTAAAACAAAAACTTACCCCCCAAAAAAAACAAATTTGATCACTGTTTTTCCAGTAAAATCCAAGCAGGAATGGGTTTTCAATGGACATAAAAGGTTGAAAGGTCGGAAATAGGGTTAAGCAGTTGCGAGCGCCGTAAAACACGTACTATTTGTTAAAAAAGACGATACCTCGACATTTTTCGTTGGGGAGTTCAAAACACGAACGTCACGCCACACGCCGCTAAGTAGCAACGCTATTGAGTTTCTTCACTTTAGAGCTTCTTCACCCAAACTATAGAGCTTCTTCACCCAAACTATAGAGCTTCTTCAACCAAACTATAGAGCTTCTTCAACCGAACTATAGAGCTTTTTCACCCAAACCATAGAGCTTCTTCAACCAAACTATAGAGCTTCTTCACCCAAGCCATAGAGCTTCTTCACACAAACTGTAGAGCTTCTTCAACCAAACTATAGAGCTTCTGCACCCAAACTATAGAGCTTCTTCACCCAAACTATAGAGCTTCTTCAACCAAACTATAGAGCTTCTTCAACCAAACTATAGAGCTTCTTCAACCGAACTATAGAGCTTTTTCACCCAAACCATAGAGCTTCTTCAACCAAACTATAGAGCTTCTTCACCCAAGCCATAGAGCTTCTTCACACAAACTGTAGAGCTTCTTCAACCAAACTATAGAGCTTCTGCACCCAAACTATAGAGCTTCTTCACCCAAACTATAGAGCTTCTTCACCCAAACTGTAGAGCTTCTTCACCCAAACTGTAGAGCTTCTTCACCCAAACGGACGACTTTTTCCCATCATGGTACTCGAAATGACTAGAATTTTTAACTGCCACAAGTTACCTGGTATGCTTAGGGGTTATGGACGGGGGAGGGGGGGGGGGGGGGGGGAGA